CCCAGGCTGGAGTGCAGTGGTGTGATCTCTGCTCACCATAACCTCCACCTCCCAGGTTCAAGCGATTCTCCTGCCTCAGCCTCCTGAGTAGCTAGGACTACAGGCACGTGCCACCACACTGAGCTAAATTGTTTTGTATTTTTAGTAGAGAAGGGGTTTCACCATGTTGGTCATGCTGGTCTCGAACTCCTGACCTCCTGATTCGCCCGCCTTGGCCTCCCGATGTGCTGGGATTATAGGCGTGATCCACTGTGCCCGGCTTGTATGTTTAATTTTTAAGAAACTACCAAAGTTTTCCCAAAGTGGTTGTACCATTTTATGCCCTCATTAGCAATTTATTTTTGAGACAGAGTCTTGCTCTTGTCCAGGGTGGAGTGCAGTGGTATGATCTCGGCTTGCTGCAACCTCCATCTCCCGGGTTCAAACGATTCTCCTGCCTCAGCCTCTTGCGTAGCTGGGACTACAGGCACCCGCCACCATGCCCAGCTAATTTTTTGTAGCTTTAATAGAGACAGGGTTTCATTGAGTTAGCCAGGATGGTCTTGATCTTCTGACCTTGATCCTCCAGCCTCCGCCTGTCAAAGTGTTGAGATTAATAGGCGTGAGCCACCACGCCCAGCCTCTGAGCATCTTTTTTTGAAGACTAGCCTCCAGTACTTAGTATCTTAATAGGAAATACACATATCTGGGTCCATTACTGTACTTAAAAAAAATTGATCAATAATGTCCATTCTTATCTTGATTACTGCAGTTTTTTTTTTTTTTTTTTTGGCGGGGGGGATGCAGTTTTACTCTTGTTGCCCAGGCTAGAGTGCAATGGCACAATCTTGGCTCACTGCAACCTCCACCTCCCTGATTCAAGCGATTCTGCCTCAGTCTCTCCAGTAGCTGGGATTACAAGTGCCTGGCTAATTTTTGTATTTTAGTTGAGGTGAGGATTCACTGTGTTGGCCAGGCTTCTCTCAAACTCCTGACCTCAGGTGATCTCCCCGCCTTGGCCTCCCAAAGTGCTAGAATTACAGGTGTGAGCCACTGCACCTGGCCTGATTACTTACTGTAGTTTTATAGTAAGCTCTCTGAAGATAGTAATTTTTAAGGTCCTAAAGTTTGCTTCCTGCAGAGTGGATTTTTTTTTCCTTTGAAGTTACTATTACTGTTTTTTTCCTACTTCAAACTTCTTGTTAGGGGCTTTCCTCAAATAACTGGAAAGTTTTGGCTCTGTGCTCATGATTATAAGAAGAGGGGATTAACATGTTTATAAGCTCGGAGGGCTTTTTTACTGAGCTTCACCATGGGTGCTGTTGGTTGGAAAACCCCTGTGCTATGGTTTGAATGTTTGTCCCCTCCAAAACCCATGTTGTAAAACTTTTTCGAGATGGAGTTTCACTCTTGTGGCCCAGGCTGGAGTACAATGGTGCAATCTTGGCGCACCACAACCTCCACCTCCCAGGTTCAAGCATTTCTCCTGCCGCAGCCTCCCGAGTAGCTGGGAGTACAGGTAGATGCCACCACGCCCAGCTAATTTTTGTATTTTTAGTGGAGATGGGGTTTTACCATGTTGGCCAGGCTGGTCTAGAACTCCTGACCTCAAGTGATCTGCCCACCTCTGCCTCCCAAAGTGCTGGGATTACAAACATGAGTCACCATGCCTGGCCCATGTTGAAACTTAATTTTCAGTGATTCATGGATTAATGAGTTAATGGATTATCATGGGACTGGGACTGGTGACTTTATGAGAAGAGGAAGAAACCTGAGCTAGCACACTCAGCTTCTTCATCATGTGATACCCTGCACTGCTTTGAGACTGCAATCTGCAGAGTCCCCACCAGCAAGGAGGCTCTCATCAGATGTGACCCCTTGACCTTGGACTTCTCAGCAAGCAGAAATATTAGAAATCAATTCTTTATAAATTACCCAGTCCCAGGTACTGGGTAATTTCAGTTATA